CCGCTTCCAGATCAGCTGCACCTGTGGTGAATAGAGGTCCTCAAGTTTGTATGCCTGGAGGTGAGGAAAAGCAGAAAAGCAGGTTTCACACGTGTACTTGGTGCTTGATTTCTACATAAAGAATGCAGCAGGCAAAAGACAACCAGGAAACAAACAAACAAAAAACCAAAACAGCCAAAAAAAAACTCAAGCAAGTCAGGTTTGTCAGAACAGGCAGTGAGAACAAAAAAAAAAAAAAAAAAAAAAGAAGAAAAATGAGTAACAACATTTACTACGTTACACAAGAAATCCATAAACTAGTTCAGACACCAGCTTGCATGCCCACACAGCACAGATAATGACACTGAGGCCACAGGCAGACATGCCTCTGTACCACTCTGCCCAGTGCTCCCAGTTCGAGCACAGCAATGCAATCCAGATGCCTCCAAAATCAAAAGCATATCATCATGCATATGCCAAGGACACCTAAAATCCTCCCCTTGGTGATGTACACAGAGACACCTGCATCACTGGAGCAAAACACAGCAATTAGTCAGAACAGAGAATACTGTCTCAACACTGAACTTGAAGTAAAACTGGAACAGACAGAGAACAAAAAAAAAAAAGTCACAGAGAACATACTTGACAATTGTGACTGCCTTGCTGTCTCACCGTGTCATATCCTAAAACCTGCAAGCATGGTGCACCATCACATTTAGGCCACATCTAACTCTTCACAGGATCCGGACTTCAGTTCTCAAATAAGCTTTTGAACAGAAAAGCAAGGAGAATATCAGGCTGCCTCCTGGGCTATCATATAGGCAGCAGGAGCCAAACTCCATATTCTCTGCACACAAAGCCAGCAGCAGAGCAGCAGTCCAGCCAGCAGCAAGCAGGCTCAGCTATAAGCCACAGACTGTGGCCCCGAGGCAGGGCAGGAGCTGAGGGAACAGAAGTTTGCTGATGCTCCATGTGCTCATCCTGCATTCCAGGCATGTATGAACAGCCTTCAGAACAGTAACTCCCTTCATACTGTGTCTCATACCTTAGGCAGCCTCAGTCCTGTCCCATAAAAACATACCTGTGAACAGCGGCAAGCAGAAAGTGCCTCAATGCAAAGAAGAAAAATGGAGCTTCAAAAGACACCGGTAGTTCTGCATTGGGATGTGTCCCCCTGCAGGCAGACACCACAAAGCTAAAGTGGCCTTGCAGTTTGTTTCATTTTAGGAAACAGTTAGACAACCAGGTGCTTTTTGCAACTATGCCACATTTCAGAAGTTATCACCAATGAAATACTTAAGCAGACAAAAAGCTTTATTAATTTTGATTAATTGCAGAAATATACATCTCCTCCTTTCTTGCTACTGTGTCACAGACAAATGAGCGCTGCCTTTTTTCTTCCTGGCAGCCTTCTTTGCTACCAGGAATTGTTTCTTTTTACTTCTTGCAAGGCAGCAACTATGCTCACACTTACACATTACCTGTATCCATTCGGCTCTTCCTTCTACCTTTCCCCAGCATGCGTGGCTCTTCTACTTTCTTGCTTCCCTTTAAGCTCCAGTACTTGGTTTTCATACTGCAAAAGTCATCACTTTGTTATGGTGCTCCTCAGACTGTTATCCATACTAAAAGGGGTTATTTCAGTGCTATCCTTCTCAAACGATGCAGTATGAAATACGCACACCTGAGATTTGCTCAAATGATGAACACTGAAAGAGTTAAAGACTCTCAACTGTAAAGATACTTTAAATAAAGATCATTTAAATCAAACTGAAGTGAAACACACAGTTTAGCCTGTGTGTGATGTGTATCTTACAGAACCGACCAATGCAGAATACTGCAAACCCCAGTCCTGTGGAAGGCACTGCCTGCTCTCACAGGTGACCCATGGGGCCAGAGAGCTTCTGACTTCTTCCTTCATCAGTAATAACATCAGCTAGCATTCAAGAATTGTGCTAAACAGGCTTTTTCCCCTTTAAAAAAAAAAAAAAAAAAAAAAAAAGAAGAAGAAAAGAATGGGATTCCTTCAATTTCATTCATTTCCCACAAATAAAACCTCTAATGTCAACCACTACATACCAAGGAAGAACTTGGTTCTATAACATGTAGAACAAGGCTACTGAGCAACCCAGAATAAACACAGTTCACAAGCCAGTGCTCAGTAGTTTGCTCTCTCTAAGTGCTACAGAGTCAATATTTTGGCATGCTTCATTTCCTGAGCTGGCCACGTTCACATCAAAACAAGAGCACATAACTGAGACTACCAGTCACAACACAACAGGGTTACTGAATGGAAAGCAAATTCCCAGGAGATGATACAGAATGATTACCAATCCTACTTTTAGTCTAAAATTCCTTTCAAAAAGCCAATATTATACCAGCAGAGCTCTAGGAGACAAAAACCACTACCCAATCCCAACAACAGCAGTCTGCGCAAGGATGGATGGTAGAAGGAAGAACACAGTACTGTTCTGTCAGGTTGTCAACTCCCTGTTTTTCTCTAAGAAATTAAAAATAAGGTATTTTTAATTACAAAATCTTCCAATGTGTATAGATCATTTACCCCAAAGACAAACACGTTTCACCAACTGGTTTGTGAAACACTCACAAAGACTCACAAAGACCATTCCATCTCTTCAACAAGCGAGGATATATATAAACAGCAATGAGCACAAAAATGTAGTCACATAACAGATTGTTGATAACAGATGTTATCAACTCTGGGAGAAGCATCAATAGGTAATTACAGGGGTTGCCATGCCCCACACTCACTACCAACAGTACTCATTTCCAGCAGCCTACCTGCATTTTCATTCCACTCTCCTTCACCACTACAGCATGCTGCAGGACTATTTCTTCCACAGTGTATGTTCTTAAAATAGTTACTAAATAAATATGTTCATTACACTGATGACAACAGAGGTGGCATGTAGCAACAAAACACATGGAATATATTCTTTCATCCAGTGACTGTAACTCTAAACATTACATATGTGGAAAAGTGGCACTATTTTACTTTTTTTTAAAGCAGTGTTCAGGAACAGTGTAAGCAAGAAAAATGCATGTGAAAAAGCTTTCAGATGGGTTAAAGAAGCAACTGTGAAATGTGTGTATGTACATATATGTATACACATACATATATATATATACACATACTATATTAGCCATCCATGAGTAATTTCTGTAGTATACTCCTCAATAACTTACAGAATCATAGAATGGCTTGGATTGGAAGGGACCTCAAGGATCATGTAGTTCCAACCCTCCTCCACAGGCCGAGTTGCCAATTGCTAAATCAAGACTTACAAAAATGTCGAGTTCATATTAAAAGTGAAGAACTTCCCTGATGTCTTCACATCCAAAAATTCTCTGTTCTAACATCAGAAAGTCACCATTCTACCACAACCTACCCCAATCTATTTTTACCACCCCAACAGTATAAACTTTCTGAAACAGATCAGATGCAGCTGTTGGTCTAATCATCCTAACACAGCCCAATTCCTGCCGAGCACATGTTCAGGACTGTGTTTTACAAACTCTCTTCCATCACAATGCTTAAAGAGAAAACCAAAAGGAAAAATGGAATAAAACCAGCCCACATACTGCTTGCCACTGAATCACCTGCACTAGACAAGAAGCTCAGGCCACAAACCTAACTGCTCAGTGTGGAACATAGGGTGCACAGTCTGAAGATGCTGCTTCAGCCATCAGCCTAACATCTGCACAGCAGCTCCCAAAGCACAGCCTGCAGACCACCTGCAGCTCCCCAGGCCTTCACACAGCAGCCCACAGAGGGGCCCTTAGCCAGGAAACTTCCAGAAGCCCAACAGCAGCGTGCTGTGCGACTGCCCGCACTGCCACAGGTCAGCGCCTCTGCAAACTCACAGGCTTCTGTGAAAACGCTCCCAGTTAAAACTGCCCGTGAGTCCCAGCTTTGTTCTCAGTCAGCCACGGCCTCAATGAGCTTTTTGTAACTTCAGAATTTCCAAATCTAAGCTGTGGTAGCAAAATTCCCACATAAAGCACGTTTCTATCTGAAAGCTGCTGAACTCTTCGTATCACAAACTTATGCACGCGTAGTCTGTCAAGCCGAGTACAAAAGCACCAGAAATACATGTTATGCTTTATCTTACAGCATCAAAAAGTTCTGTGTGAACAAGAGTTTGGGAATCCCAGTTCTCCACAAACTGATGCACTCAGAACACACTGAGTCAGCGATGCTGCTAACAGTTACACGCATGGGAACATGCAACCACTGACTCCTTTTTTTTGTTTGTTTGTTTTTGGTATACTCTTACAGTCTACACACTTCCAAGAGTTGAGTGAATTAAAACCTGATGCTTTTTCAATGTCTATTACTCTACAACGATAACTCAAGAGTATTTGGTACCTGCTGAGATGGTAACAGCACAGCCCCACAAACTCCCCCAAGGTTACTGGATGCCACTCACACACAGGACCACACCAAAGGAAAAGGCAAGACTGCCACCTGCCCAGGACTGGAAGCACAGATCTCCATGTGCTCTGTTCTCGGACATTAACAGGGACTCAATCAGTACGACGTGGGTAAGGCTGCCGAGCGGCACTACTTGCCCATCAGAGACGCACACACAGATCTAAGCACAGAACTCACACCAGCCCCACACCTTGCGGGAAGCTTTGAAGCATGGCTTCCACGTGCACACCTGGCCCTGCGCGCAGCCCCTCCCGCTCCGGACGCCCACCGGCTGCCTCAAGGCACTGCCTACGCTGCTCGGAGCGCTCCGCTGCCGTTGGCCGAATCGGGCGGCCCAGGGTACCCGAGGCGGACGGCAGAACGGAACGGGGCCACGCCGGGGAGCTGCGCCGCGTCACGGATCTGCTGCTCGCGGCAGCCAATGGGCGCCGGAGCCGGGCACGGCGCGACTTCATTCATTCATTCATAAAAAAAGAGGCGAAGCACATATAGGAAACGCGCCCTTCCGGGCTCGGTACGGGGCTCTACGGGCCCCACCGCGACCCCCAGCCCCACCGGTACTCACGGCAATCCGCCTCGTCGCTGTTATCCGAGCAGTCGTTGTCCTCGTCGCACGCCCAGACGGCGGGGATGCACCGCTCGTTCCGGCACTGGAACTGGTCCTTTTCGCACTCCTTCACGGCTCCTACGAGACACGGGGCCGCGCCTGGGTCAGCGGGGCGCGCTTCGCCGCCGGGGGAGTCCCGGGGTCAGGGTCGGTCCTGCAACCGGCACCGGGAACCACCAGCGGAGGACAGGGGCTGGGGCTGGGCCCGGCTGGGGGGATGCGCCCCGCGGGAGCACGGCAGTGTACGGAGCTGCTTTGTGTGCGCGTGGAAGGGCCGCTGCCGTGCTCCGTGCACCGGATTGGGAGCGTAGGATAAAGGACCCCGGGGATGAAAAACGGTTAAACGCCAAACGAAAAAGACAAAGAAAAATGGAAAAGCGCACCAAGGCCAGGACCGCTCCGTGCGTCCGCCAGCGGGGCAGATCGCGAGGAGAAGAGATGAGCGGTGCGGGCGGCGCTCCCAGAACGGGGGAACGACCCGGTCGAAGTTGAGGACGGGGGGACGAAGCAAATCTGCTTTGCATACGCCGCGCCGCTTCGCCGAGGCACAAATCTCCTCAGCGGGGGATTAAAGGTGGCAGCTCCCGTCAGCAGCGCTCGGGTCGCGCCGACCGACCGAAGAGCGCACGCGGTCCCCGCTCCCTCCTCCACCGCTCGCAACCGCCGCACGGAGCAGCAGTGCGAGGCGATGCTCGGGGCCGGCAGGACCCTCGCGTCCTCTCCGCATCACACGGCCGAGCCGCGCCGGACCCACCTTTGCCGAGGTACAGCTTCAGCAGCAGCAGCTGGAGGAGCAGCAGCCGGGCGAGCGCAGGCCGGCACATGCTGCCCGCTCCCTCCGTGGCAGCGCACCGTGTGCGGG